CACACACACACACACACACACACACACACACACACACACACATACACATACACACACACACTGGTGGTGTATACCTGCTTCTCTCTCAACTGAAAAATATTTTGTTGTTGTTGAATGCATCACTTGATCTCATGCTAGGAAAGCTGGAACTACATATGTGACCAAAAGAAAAAAAATGTCTCCTAGCTACAAGTATAAGTTGTGAGACTACATAGCTAGGCTATTCCTGCTTCTTGCTAGTGAAACTCATTTTATTGAATTGGGATTAACCCTTTGATTTCTCTATAGATGACTTTAATTTTTCAAGCAGCTTCATATTTGTATACATTTTCCCTGAGATTTCTTTTCTGAAATGCACTGGTTGCTTTTTAGCTGATATGCAGAAGCAGAAGGCTTTTAAATCTGGCTGCTTTTGTGAGATAATTGCTGGGAAGAAATATCTGCAATTGGAATTGTAGCTTGGTGATGCTAACGAATAATAATAATAGGGTAAAGCAGACAAAATTATACCCATTTACTGAAAACATGGGTGATGCTGTAATGTATAAAAGGATCAGTCATTAAACATGTTCAGTTGTTATATGAAAGGCTGCACCTTCTCAGTAAATGGAATTCTCATTATGATTCAGAGTGTTTAGAAAACATTTTTAAGATTTAAATGTAGAGCTGGCAAAGTGTTTGAGAAGCTAATAAAAGTAGGCCTGCACTTTGATAGCTGGCTCTGCATGTTAAACTAGAAATCATAATCTGTACAGTTGCTAACTTCAGTATTGCAAGCAATAGAAGCTGCTCAGAAGAAAATAAAAAGATGATTTTCCTAATTCCTTTCAGTAACTCTTTATACCGATGTCTTAAATACAAAAGCATGCATTCAAATAAAGATTGACTGTACTTGTCAACAGAAGTTTAAAGAAAAGATAATCTTGGGGAACATTTCATACTAACTATTTAGTTTGAAAGTTTAATTTCCATGGACGTTACCAATTTTGAGTGAGTGAGTAATATATGCTTTTGTTTATTCATACAGTTCTGAACTGTTTCCCAAAGGTGTGGTTGTTTGCATTAGGCTGTATGGTTTCTGGTATTCTTTTATTGCATTGGCTTAAAGTGTGGGGACCAGGTAGCTGCAACAAAGGTCACAAAACTTGAAAATTAACTCCTGGTAGAAGCATATGGTGCTTCTTTAAACATGAAGCTAGTACTTAGAAAGTAATAATATGAATAAACTGAATTTAAAACATGATCAAAAATGTGATCAAAAACAATTATACCTGATTTGTAATAGAAATTGACTAGCTTACCTGCCATGGTTCTATTTTTATATTAGATATTCTCTGTTGTTGTTTTTTCAAAGTCTGCTTCAAAGGTGATAATTTTCATGGAGTAGATGTTTCACCTGAATTTTGCTTAGACATTGTGAATATTCCTTTTTTTTTTAAAAAAAATCCTTTTTATGTATCAACAAGAGATGGAGTTACTCAATTTGCTTTAAGTTGTTTGCTATACAAAATGCAAGGGAGTGAAAGCAGGCAACTCCATACACAGGAGTGCTGCTGGCATGCAAGGTGCCCTTGTACATAAAAACATGTTTGAAATATTCTAGCTGCACACATGCACACTGAACCACCATTATAAATATTTTTTTACCTTGCTACTGGCATCCTCCTTCATGTGGTGCACAACAGTACACACCAGTGGTTTGCAACAGTCCTGTACTTATACTGTTCGTTAATATGTGTCCCATTAGCAATTTTCCTCCCCACACACATATACATACAGAATAATGCAGATGCATGTGGCATGTAATGAGTTACATCTAATTGGATAGCTAAAGTATGTTTGATTCAAATTAGGTTTTGAGGCAGATGCACATAAACATATCACAGTTCTCTGTTACTCCCACCATCACAGTGTCAGTGTCACTCTCCCTTGTTTCCAAAGGAAGAATTGTCTTTAATCTGTTGCAGTAGAGAACAAAATAAAAACCTGTGGCATTTTAAAGATTAATACATTTATTATCACATGTTCTGTGCAAGGCTTCATTATAACATTATTTATTCCACTGAAGCAATAATGGCCATAAAGCAAAGGTAATCTGCAGTTCTGCAACTCATTGCAGCTACTGGCCTAATTTCAAAAGCCTGTGCAAAATATCATTCTGTAATTGATCCATCTCTCTATCAGCAGAGGAAAGCCTTTATTTGGGGTTCTGCTCCTGCCCAACAGCAGGTAGCCCCCAACAGATTATCTCAGGGAGTGCAGGAAAAGAAGTTTCTGTCCCTGTGTTTAGAGCTCATTGATGTAAGTATAATTGGCTGTAGGATTATAGGTATAATGTTTTGGATGCCCACCCTATATTTTGGAAATGTTAGATTTTGCTTTATTCCATTTATCCTTTCATATTTTAGAAGAACCTCTATTCTCTATTAAATTGAAGACATGAAAATAGATCCTTGGAAACAAAGATACTACATGTGACAGTCTCGGCTTGGCTTCTAGAACAACGTAGCTCTTCTTAGATTGACAGGAGCAGTTCTCACCTTATTCAGCCCAGTAGTGGTAAAATCTGCCTTTCTAGCTGGTAGTTCTTGTCCCTAAGACCCTAAACATCAACTGGGAAGCCGGTACTGTAAATTCAATTTCAGCTGAATTTACCTTCAGACAGAAGTACTTACAATTTCACTT